GTAACAAATCAATAAAAACAATGCAAAACTAGTACGACGCCACACAATTATTTACATATTCCAATAACATAACCTCATTACTGATCTGAGGCTGGAAATCTGTTGGGTTGGTACTTCCGAACTTCACGAAGAAATTGACGAAAATTAGAACATGCTCTAATTCGTCAAGAACTTGATGAATAAATTCATGAAGTTATTTGACAGCTGATTTGGTGCATTACACTTGTCCAATTTCTTGATGAAGCGACTTCATGAATTAATTGATCAATAAATTGTCAATGTAAAACAGCATTTTCGTGAATTAATTCATGATGAACTTCGTCAATTTATTCATCAATAAATTGTTAATGTAAAACAGCTATTAGTCATGGCATTCCAAACCGGAAAAATACTCATCATTGGTCGGACGAAAACCCACATAGTATTAGAGAAGTTCAAAGGTAGGGTCACGTTAGTGTCAATGTATGGTGTGGAATTGTACGGCGCCATTTAATAGGTCCATATTTTTATGATGGTGTCTTAACGGGACAAAGGTATTGCAATTTTCTCGCAAATGAAATTTCTATTCTTATAGAAAATGTGCCACTTCAAATTAGGAGACACCTGTGATTTCATTGGACCATAATGCTACAGTTGTTCAAAGCTATTTAAATTTGCACTTTGAAAATAAGTGGATAGGTATTAATGGCCCTTTACAATTTGCTCCGAGAGCCCCAGATCTAACCCCTCTTGATTTCTTCTTGTGAGGAGCCCTAAAACAAACAGTATTGAACATTTAAAGCAGAAAATCTCTGGTGCTTATGCTGAAATACATGGCAATATTTAAAAAAAAGTAACGTCCAGTGAACTAAGAAAACGTTACGAATTGTGTTTAAATAATAATGGTGCTCACATTGAATATTAAGTATTGTGTTTATTTATTTCACTTGATATTCCTTTTCTATTTACCTATTTCGGTTGATATTCTTTATATTGTTGTGGTCTTCCTTATATGATACGTGGATTTGTAATTCTTACAAATTAATGCAATTGTTGTATACACAGTTGTGTTATGAAATTGTTTATAGTGAATACGTCTTTTATTGTAAATAGAGCCATAGTTATTGATATATTGAACCAGCAAGAGCATTGAAAAATATCTATATCGCTACGTCGTTGCAATAATAATTATGAGATAGAGAAATTCACTAGAGAATTGCCGGTAACTTTTTAAATAATGGGAACATAAAAAAATTTTATATAGGAAAAATATTCAAAATTAAGGGATCTTTATCGTGACATATTAAAAAATGTATGTTGCTGGAAAAAATTTGAAACGCCGCGATGCCTAGCGTCGTAAAGATAATTTCTGTATTTCTGCCCTAACTTCTAGTAAAAGTAAGCAAAAATGAAATAATTTCTAAAATAATTTATTTTTCTCGGCCGTTTCCCAGAAAAACTCATTTCTTCGGTTTATTTATTTATTTAAATAAATAAATAATGAAGATGAAACTTATATGTCGACCCTCAAGCTAACGCGTATGCCGTATTTCCCTTTCAGAGCACTGCTGTCGATCGGCTACTTCTTCCTGACGATCTGGGGTGGCGTGGAGGTGTGCGCCCCCGACATCCTGCTGTGGAACCTGGTGATAGTCCTGCTGAACGTCACCCACACGGCTCTGCTGACGTGGAAGTTTCTACCGCCGACGCTCACTTTAGAGCTGACGGATTTGTACCTTAAGGTAATGGGCATGATAGACCCTACGTCATAAATTGACGAAATAAAAATGTGTTTGGAAACGTTTCGCTTTCGAGCTAAGGAACAAATGATCGGTCGCGATCGCTGGGCGCAGGGGTAGTCCGACCGGAGTGATTTTAATGTTGTGTAGTCTGGACCTTTCTGCGAGGAACAGAAGTGATTCAAGCATGTCACCTCTACCTATAGTCATATCCTGTATGGAAGTCTCTGTCATAACATGTGGGGGTTATTTCTTATATCCGCAGATGTGCTTTCATCGTTGTTTTTTATTCTTCACCATCCAACAACTTCTTAATAAACACAAGAATTACTTAATGCGTTCTTCGAACTTCTACAGCTTGCAGTTTAACAATTAACTGTATCAAACTATTTATTAAAGCTCACCCTACAAGTACATGCAGCGCACGAGATAATTAACGTGCCTGGATATGAGTTAGAGTCGATAAAATTAGTTTCTGGAAAGAGAATAAGTTTGATATCGATTAGATAGTCGCATCGCATCGAATGTGTAAGCAGAGAAGTGTTTACCCGGGTGGTAACAAAAGGACATAAACTGAGTCGGCTGCTATTTACTTTGCATTTACTATCTGGAAAAAGATACGTGTCGTCAGGGAAAATATGAGTTCGCTTTTATTTAACTGGATATCGTAAATTCCGATGAATAAAACGGGAGTACCTAATAAAATTAAAAAAACCTTTAGTTTGCACATTTCTGTGCATTTCTTAATATTTATTTTATTTCATAGCGGAACATCAGGCCAACGAAGAACATACTTGTGCAAATATTTAATTTCAGACTGTTCCAATCTGATCGAATATTTTATATTAAACAAACGAAATAATAAAGTCTTCGTCGGGCAGTTTTAATTAGTTTCAACTCTTCAATTTTTACGTATGCTTGAACATATACGTTGCATATGTTCAAGCATATCTTATATTGATTCACACTGAGCTGATTAAAAAAAAATCGACTATTTTTTTTTAAAATCCCCTTCGAAATAGATTCAGGGAGGTGAGAAGAGATGCCTGTAAAAATCGGAACCCTACAAGAATACGGTTCGGTCATTTAAATCCGTCTATTGGTTTTTAAGATCATTCTTCCCCTATTATTTGAATGGAAAATAGAAAATCGAGATGCGCGACCTGTAAATATTAATATTAAGAGTTCCGATTTTTACAGGCATCTCTTCTCACCTCCCTGAATCTATTTCAGACGGAATTTTGAAAAAAAAATCGCCGATTTTTTTTTAATCAGCCTAATAATTATTGTTTTAAATGCTGTCCATACAGAAAACTAAAATGTCCTTAATTTATTACATAGGGTGAATTGTCTAGTTTAAAAAATTTGTCCCAAAATCCACTTTATTTTGATTGCTCACTTTATTAAATCAGTGATTATGTAAGGCAGATTTCACAGTGAAACTAAAACGCCTAGTTTAATGATAGACTCTTTAGAAAAGTTATAAATATGTGTCTGGAAACACTTCATTTTCAAGGTGTTCAAAATTAATGAAAATATGTGGTTTATTTCAATATACAAAACACGTTTCAAGAAGGCCATGTGCATAATATTTTTTTCTACTCATACAGTATGACCCCTTTTTAAAGGAGGTATTTATCATGAGATTTAGTTGGACTTAAGCCTACATATATATTTTTTTCATTATCAAATTTGACAAAAATTGACTATTATTTTTTCACTTTAATCTTTAATAGTGGAGATCCTACATCTTTTCGTTTCGTGAAAAAGTATAAATTGTTAATTGTAAAATTAATACATTTTTCCGTTCTTCCCATAAGGAGTGAGCAATTTATACTATAAATAAATCAAATAAACACTTAAAATGTGCACTAATTTGCTTTTTTTAATCTTCAGTGTTTTCGAATTTGAATCAATGTACCATTTAATTATAATTATGAATAACAAAAAATTACGAATAATGACATGGCCATGAAAATATATGCAACCTCGATCTAAATGTTTAGAGGATAGTTTTCCTGCAATCTTCCGTTACTCTCCCCCAGTGGCGGCTCGTGACATTGAGAATAGGTGAAGCATATTCATTGATGGACTAAAAACAAGCGAAAAAGCGCCGGCGAAAATTTTCAAATTTTCAAGGTCAAATGGCTTTAAATAAATCTGAAAATTTTTAGTTGCATTTGCGATATTACCAAAAAACTGACGTTCGTGAGAATGATTTTCATTTAGATTTTATAAAAAATAGAAATATTAGTTCGGCTTGTGGACTTCTGCGAACATTAACGCACNAAACCAATGTGTTTCAGATGTTCAAACCCCTTCGGGTCAGCAAGAAGCACTTCAAGGAGTTGGTGAAGGAAGCGAAGGTCATGAACTTAGAACAGGGCGACATCTACGCCGTAGAAGATGTCAGCCCGGCTGACGAAAGGCTGTCAATATTGCTCAAAGGAAGGTAAGCTGATCCTTTCCAATTTTCATCTCAAATCCAAAAACTAACCAATTCGCGTTGTCTTCGTGGTTATCCTGCCCAAACCGGTATAACCAGTTCAACTCGATTCTTTCAGATTGCGCGTAACCTGTGACGACACGCACCTGCACTTCATCGGCACCCACCAGTTCGTGGATTCGCCCGAGTGGGAGGCCAACCACGAGCAATCGGACGACGTGTTCCAAGTGACAATCACCGCCGAAGAGGACAGCGTGTACCTCTGCTGGCCCAGGATGAAGCTGGAGAGGGTGCTTAGGCACAGGCCTATGCTCAAGGTCGTGCTGGACTCTATTATAGGTACTATGTTTGCAATTTTTTTCCGCCAGAGGGCGAGAGCTTGTCATATTTCCTATTATTCAGGTAAAGACATAACGCAGAAGCTGTACGCCCTCAACGAACATCTCAGCGGGTTGAGCGACGAGAGGGAACGGGGCAAAAGGAACCGGATATGGGCGAAGACCCACAACCGTAGCATGTCCATGGACGCAGTCAACACGGGCACCACCGGCTTGGTTAGGTCCCAGTCGTATAAGTCTACGCACAGGAATAATTCCAGTCGAGCAGATCGTAAGTAGGAAAAGTTTTTCGTTACATTGTTTAATTTTCTGTTAATATCTAGGAAGGTGGTGGCAAACACCTCATTGAGGAAATGTAACTGACAAACTTATCTCGCCCCTTACCGATGCTGGGTATGCGCATGTAGTGACGTCATCTGATAGAAAGACACGAAATCGCGGCATAATTGACATGAAAATCATGAAATCTTTTTGTCGTTTTTTTTATACTCCAAAGCTGTTATGGCTACAACTTCACATCATTCATTTTATTATGCAAAACAAACATCAAACTTGACAAAACAGCTCAAATTAAAGAATATGAGTCAAACTAAGAGAGCTGACAGAGGCGGGATTGCCAAAAAAATAATGAACCTCGCGGGCAGTGGCGGTTTTACCATAAGAGCTGCGGAGCTGCAGAACACATAAAATGTTATGCATTTAATCATATTAAACATCAACAAAATATTTAAAGAATCCAAATGTAATGGCTAAAATAAATCTAGGAGCTTATATTATTATTTATTACGACGCGAGCTACGCCCCTCAATATATGCAACATCATATACAAAATGTGTGCATAGCGAACAATTAGATGCGTCCTTTGTTTTTATTGGCTAATCAGGCACGTGACCCAGTATACTTTTATATGGGCTTTTGTTGCTGCAACAACGACAGCCACTGCTGCAGTAAATGCAGTAATATTTCGTACGTGGTATGTGGTGGTTTATTTCTGCGAGCGGCACGTGTGAATATTTTCGTTTAGTGGTTTAGGCGTCTACGGATATTATAGTTATTAAAATGAATAGCGTTTCGTTTTAAAAAAAACTTTATTTGGTTCTCTGCCTTATGAGGATAAACTAAAAATAAAAGAATTAGGTGGGTCAACACCACAATTAAATATTGAAGTTAGTGGAACAAGCCGAAGCAAAAGTTATAAAAGACAATTTAACAATAATGTATACACGAAAGCAGAGCGGGTGTGCGGGTGTGATTTAAAAAATACACTGTTTTGTTTTCCGTGCTTATATACTTTTCGATGGAGATAAGCATGGATATACAGTGTGAAAGATTTAAGTAATTTAAGTCATTAGGTAAAATAAACATAAGAAGTCAGTTAGATTCTGCATATTGGATATTGGGATAATATACACAATGAACAGGTAACGAAAAATCGTTATGTATTATCTAAAATCGTAGATTGCATAAAACTTTGCGGAGCTTTCGAATTAGCACTTTGTAGACACGACGAGACAGAAAATTCGGACAACCTGATGTGTTCCGTGGACTCATCAATTTTATTGCAGATTTTGACAACATATTAAAAGAACATCTAGCCACATGGGCATGACCGGGATTGTCTGTGATTGTATCGGGAATTAGCTGTATGGTTCCGGATTCCGGATTTGCACGTATAACTCCCAGAATATAATATATGTACGTATATATAAAAAAAGATAAAGAAGAAATCATAACACGACGAGGAAAATTAAAATTCGTTGAATCGTTGGTAAACTTTACAAACGATTTTTTTGTTTATAAACAATATTCAATAATTTAATAAAATATGTTTAGTTTATTCCAATTTATTTATACCGTCAGTAGGTAATTCGTGAATAGATATTTCAAAAAGGTATCAATTTCAAAAATCGTTCTNCCAAAATCAGTTATACTATTCTCTAACATCAAAACGAGAGGGTTGGAACATAACAGTAGCCTGAAATTAGGTTAGTAACAGATTTCCCTCTCGGAATTGTATGTGAACATCGTTTAACAGTAGTTAATAGTTTTGTTATACGGTTTGCAGTTCTGTGACGAAGTTTGCCCCTCATTTAGGCGATAAATGTAGTGTTTCCATATTTGATGAAACCATATGCAGGGTGTCACATAAATAAGTGCCAAAATTTTAATCACGAATTTAACTTATCTTATCAAAAGGGCCGGTATTTTGAATACAGGTTAAAACATTTGCTGTTCGTATGTGTTTGTTCACCATTTTTTTTATAGTAGATTCATCAATTTTGTTTGGCATTTCAGACAAAAATAACCACACTTTTTTATTTTTGTCTTCTCTGCCAATAAAATTTTCATTCACCTAAGACTCTCCCGTTCCTATAAAGATAGGTTCTTTTGTTGAGACATAATTTTTATTTAAAACTCGTTCCGTGACAGATTGATTGGAGACTATTTGAGCCCAAGTAGGTGCGGATTGATCATTATTAGTCCAGTCATTGAAGGTAAAATACGGCGTTACTGTATAATTTAGGTTATACTTACCCTCTACTTCAAAGTTGACCCTGTGCCGGTGGTTGCTTTTAATTTTTTAGGGGTGAAAACGACCCCTATTCGAAAATAATTATAGAATTGCAGATTCGAGCGTGTAATAGGTTGAAATCATCTTTAAATAAGTAATTATGATGAATTGAAAATTATCAATCCCTAAAAACCATCCCCTATGACAGTAATCATTAAAATATAATATTGAAAAATATTATTCAGCAACTTGGAATAATTTAATCATATAGTGATATTAAAGTAAGATTTCTTTACTGTTTTAATTTTTTATTATTTATTTATAAGTTTCAACCCTTATAAAAACCACCCCTTGCAAAAAAATCGAACAATTATAGTTAAAAAAATTTTTTTAGCTCAAAATATAATACAATCTTTTTATTATTTAAAATGTAATGTATGTATTTATTTTCAAACCTTAAGAAAAAACCCTACTGATTAAAATTTGCAATCAAAAATAGGGAAAATAAGAATTTTATTTTTATATAGAATTTAATTTTTTTATTTTTATAACAAATATTTTTTTATTGCAAATAACATATAAACAATCAAAAATCTTCTTCACTCTTGTCTTCCTTTTCTATTCTATTCCTAAAATATAGCTACAGTGTGAATTCATCAATGCTTCAATATACGTGTTCTGATATCCGGCAAAAATATGTGATTTGTTTGGTTTTTTTACCCATAACTCGCTTAGTTTTTATGCTATCAAGCCCTTCAAAAAACCATTTGGTAGGTTTTTTCAAGGGCTATAAGATCAAATAAGTTAAAATTTCGTTCAGCTCTTATTTTTGTAGGGGTTTAAGCTGAAAGGGCTTGAATAAGTTGTTATTTATGAACATATGCTAACCTTAAACATCCATATCTTACCTAATTTTTATCCTATAGAAAAATAAAACAAAATTTTCAAGAAAGCAAAATCTACAAATTTGTACTCTACACAATTTTGAATATTATTAATAGTTTTTGAGTTATTTTGAAGAAAAGACAATCTTTTCCAAAAATACAAAAATTCTCTTTTCACTTCAAGCTCAACTTTTTTCAAAACTTAGCACTTTAAACCGGTCACACTTCTAGAGTATATTACGAGTACATAAATAAAGTAAATTGTAAAGTGGTAACGATTATTTTCAATTGGGGTGGTAATTAGGGGGTGATTTACACGTTTTTTGTCGCCGAAAAAATTACGGACCTACTTTATTTTCGTCATAACTCGCTTATCTTTGATGCTAGGGACTTTTATAAAAAATAAAAATAAATGTTTTTTTAAGCACTTTAAAAAAGGTTCTATGAGTATTCCCTGAAAAATGCATTGGTTTTTGGATATTTCATGTTCAAACTTTCAATTTTGCCGTTTGACGAATAAGAAACAACCTTCAACAAGCTATTACTCCGCTTGTACTGGGTCTACAGACACCATAAATACACCATTCTTTTTGTTTTTTTATAAGCTACGTTTTTTATGTAAATGATTTTTTTGATAAAATACTTACTTTTTGAGTTATTCGCGAAAAACCGTCTGAAAAAGTGTTTTTTTTTGTTGGTTAAAAAATGTACGATTTCACTCGCGAATAAGTCGAAAAGTATTGACTTTCAGAAAAAACTAGAACCTAAATCCAAATTTTTATGAAAATCGGTGCTGTTTGGCAAAATTATACGGGAAAATGGCCATTGACTGGACTACACAGGCACTAGAACTAAGCACAATCAGCTAGATCACAACAGTGTCACGATCTGTGGTTCTAGGCTACTGTTATATAAATTGGATTTACTACCAGTATTAATTTTCTTAAATATCCCGAAAAAAATTAACAATCTGGCAATACTGCACCATTCCGGGCTGTGACGTCAGTAAATATACTTTATTTGTCACCTTCCAAACGCAAATCTTCCCCAATTCCTGACGTAACGTTAATTGTCTGATCGTCCCTTTGCTCCAAATTCCGAAGTAGGTTCCCTGGGCAAGCTGGAGACCCAGTGCTGGGTCCCCCTGGTGGCCAAGCAGTTCCCCGCCAAGTCGCCCTTCAACCCCCAGAACTCGTCGGCCAGCCTGCGCGTCCCCGACGTCCACACCACCCCGCAGAGGAGCCGGTCCCTGCGCAAGGCCAACCGCGAGGTGAAGTTTGAGACAACGCAGCAGAAATAGATGTCTTTTGTTACTCACTGTATATAGTCGTTGTTGGTAGCTTTAAGTGTGCTACGCAGAATGGTAGTTTTTAGGCATTACTTTTCACGATGTAGAGTCGCGTCGACGACGTTTCATCACTTTTTTATTACGTCTTCAGGATGTAACATGGAATAAGTTTCGAGTTACCGTGAAAATATTGCGACTGGTTTTGATATTTTTACTTAATGGTGTCACAACGCATATTTTAATTTATTTTGTACTTAAATGAGGTCAAAATGAAAAAAGGAAAAATACAGGGTGTTTCGCATAAGAACCGACAGAGCAGGGGCATGTAGGGGGACCCAAAATATCTCTGAGAAATTATAGGCCTAGAAAGTGGGGTTTCAAATTTCGAAAAAAACATCAATATCTCAGTTACACTCGAACTTAGAAAAAACAAATTTGGTACACACACCCTGTACGTATTTCGTATTTTCCTACATATTTTCAATTTGTGGGGTATTTAAACAGTGGGAAAACGCCACATTGTATAAAACTTGTTTATATACTAGTCTGCAATAAATTAAATACCAAAATTTATCCCAACTGCTAAATGAAGAGTTGAAAAATACCATTCTGTTGTATCCTATTTAGTCCAAGAAATATAAAGTTGGACGCGACTTTTTGTTCCTGCAAGCTGAATTTATCACTATAAATGCTAAATATTATGTACAATAACATATTAGTTTCCACAGTCATAAAAATGGGGGGAAGATTGTTTACAGTGTGGTTAATTGTACAATTTTTACGTAAATTCACGTTTTTCGCTTATAACTTTTTTCCGTTCATTTCCACGAGAAAACAGAAAAGTACTTTTTTTTCGTCTTCAAAAGACCCACAAAACTAGCACTCGAACGTCAAAAAATATTGATTAGATCAAAAGTTATAAAC